CGTTCGGAGGGGGGGGGGGAAAGAGATGCCTGGAAAAAAACTCTGCTGCCGGGGACAGCTGGAGAAACTAGCCTAGAATAAATTTCTTACAGGCATCTATTCAGGGTGTGTGCTGACATCTCCCCCCCCCCGAGAAAAATATGTTTAAAAGAAAACTGCCCATAAGCAGAGGCGTAGCAAGGCGGGGGGTGCGGACCGCACCGGGTGACACCATTTAGGGGTGACACCAAGGCAAAAAGTAGCAAAATTTATAGAGAAAATCTTGAGGGGGGGTTGCAAATCGAAAGCTTGAAAGGGGTGGGGGGTGCAAATCGAAAATTTGAAAGTTTGTCCCCGGGAAGGGTCGATACGCCTCTGGGGGGTGACACCATTAAGTGCCGCACCGGGTGACACCCGACCTCGCTACGCCACTGCCCAGAAGGGAGTTGCCAACAAAGTTCTCGTTGCTAGCTTATGTCCTAGCGTAAACCAAGGGAAACAACCACTACATTTGAACAAAAGCTACGCAATATGTATGTTAAAATAATGCACATAATTACATAGACTTTCAGTCCAGTATGGCCTATGCTAACTTAAATACTTTTATCAAAGTGGTTTGACTTAAAGTAAAAATGCCTAATTTCAAAATATAAATCGTCATAGGGTAGCTCATATTACAATTCGAAAACCCATTTCGTCCTGACAATGATCTTACATTAAATCTATTTTTTTTTTCCTTTAATGATCATTACATTGTCTCTAGCACTCCAATTGTTTATATTCCATTTAAAAAAAAAATAAAAAACATATTTAAAAAAGTAAGAAAAAAAAACATTTTTGTATATCTTTTTTTCTAATTATCTTCATTTGAATTGTTGATCTTTTTTTTTTAGTAATGTTCACCATTATGTTCATGTAATGATAATTTCTGTTAATGTTTGAACTATGTTAAAGACTAAGCACACACACATTTGTATATGCTGATGTAATTATTTCTATTTGAAAATAAAGGTATTAAATAAAAAAAAAAAGTAAAAAAAAAAAAAAAAAAAAATATATATATATATATATATATATATATATATATATATATATATATATCTGTTTTTAATGCAATTTTACTCTCTTCACTTAAATACTAAACCATTTTTGATCAATGTCTTTGAAACTATAAACACACAAAATTAATAATTATTATTTGTATTTTTTAATGTTTGAAATAAAATAAATAAACCGGTAGTGATCTCCCCTAAACTTTCTCGAATATTCTTATATAAAACAACAGGGGATGGTAACTGGGGATATAGTTATGATTTTTAATCCATTTTAAATACTTAAACTTTTAAAAATAGAATAGAATCTCATAAAAAAAACATTGCGCACCAAGCAAACGCCGAATAAAAACGCGTATAATAGTGCGCAATATTATTAGTACTTTAAAAATTTACATTAGTTTTTTGAGAAATCGGAAGTAGCGTAAATTACTACTTCCAGTCAACGGAAATTACTCAAAATTTAACAGAAGGTAGAGAATTAGATCTTTTACTTACATGTGAAATTTCATTTATCTATCTGAAATAGTACTCAAGTTATAGGCTTTTAAAAAATTCAAAGTAGGAAAAGTACCACTTCCGGTTATCGGAAATCGCTCAAAAGTTGATACGGATCTACGATTTTGATAAAATACTTATATATGAAATTTCATCAACCTAGCTGTAACGGTACTCAAGTTATCGTGTTTACACACGGACAGACACACACACAGACACACACACAGACATACGGACAAGATTGCAAAATTATGTTTTTCCGTATCAGTGAGGTGTAAAACGTCGAGATTTGTAAAAATCTCGATTTTTTTTTTTTGCACGATTACAATACTTTCTCTATACTACGTATATACGAGAAAGTAAAAAGGAAAGGTAGCAGCAGAGGCGTAGCGACCCTTCCTGGCGCCCGGGGACAAACTTTTGATTTGCACCCCTCCCCCTCCCCTCAGACTTTAGATTTGCACCTTCCCCTTAAACTTAAACTTGCACCCCCCTTCAAGCTTTCAATTTATTTTTCCCACCCATTTTGGCGCCCCTTAAGGTTGGCGCCCAGGGACATATGTGGATGGAGCTGCTTGAGGTTGTGTGTCATTTTACTCTACTTATCATCCATGCTGCTTAGAATATTTATAAGATTATCCTCTTTCTACCTCCTTTTTAGCTCTAGCTATAAGCTAATACTCAAGGGCGTAGCGAGGGGGGGCGGGGGGTGCGGACCGCACCGGGTGACACCATTTAGGGGGGGGGGGGGTGACACCAAGGCAAAAAATAGCAAAATAAATAGAGAAAAACATGAGGGGGGGGTGCAAATTGAAAGTCTGAGGGGGGGTGCACATCGAAAACTTGAAGGGGGGGATGCAAATCAAAAGTTTGAGGGGGGGTGCAAATCGAAAACTTGAAAGGGTCGCTACGCCTCTGGGGGGTGACACCATTAAGTGCCGCACCGGGTGACACCCGACCTCGCTACGCTGCTAATACTCCCTCAACCCACCCCACCGAAAAAGAAAATTGCTCGATTACTTTTTTTAAAACATTATTTTTTCTTCTCTCCACAGCATATTGAATCACCCTTTTAATTACACATTTACATTTTCAGGTTAAAAATAAAATTGAAATTAGAAAAAAAAATCTGCTTTTATCCCACAATTAATTATACTCTAGTTATAAACTAAGACACCCTCAACCCACCCCCACAGAGAAAAAAAATAGTCCTTTTTTATTTCCCCATTTAATTACACATTTACATTTTCAGTTCTTAAATAAAATTAAAACTATACGTTTTGTATTATATATAAGTAAACCATTTAAAATTAATGAAAGTACATGTCAGACGGAAGTATTGCTTATGTAAATCTGTATCAGTCCTCACAAGCCGAGGATGAAAACTGTAATACTAAAGCGAACATGGCAACGCAAGCTGACGGTGTAAATTACATGCCTGGGGCTAAAATAATAATAATAATAATTAATAAATAAAACCATGGGCAAACCTTGACAAAACACCAGTTAAAAAGAAAACAAGACAACAGCCCACCAGATATAACAGAAGGCAAGAAAAAAAAAGACAAAAATGAATGTGGTCATCCTTAAAAGACGTCACGTTTTTTTTACGCTTTTTACCTCCCCACTCTTTTCCCAGACTCCCCCCCCCCCCCACTAAGATGGCGTCATATTTTAACCTACAACCCCCCCCCCCCCCTATTAAAACTGCAGATGATTTTTTTTTAAAACACCAATTTCTCTTTCTTCTAAAAACAAAAAAAAAAACTAGCCGGACATCATGGTTAAATACACAAGGACGACACATACTACAAATGTGAAGCTAGCTACCAATTCTACTAACATTACAATGATCGATTTGAACATGCAAATAAAAACCACCCTCATGAAAGGTTTTGCTTGCAGATGGATCTATTTAACACTGGATTCAGAAAATTCTCTGTGAAAATAAAAACCTAAAGTTCTTGACAGTGGAACAGACCGAGTACAAAGTAACACCCACTTCAAATCACTGTCCATCAGAGAAACACAAAGCTGCTCTAACCCAACAGAAGCAAACATGTATTGTCTTGTAATGTCATTAAAACAAAGACCCTATCTATAAATTAGATGTAACAAAACATTTAGCCGCTTGTTTAGGAGAGGAAATTGCCTTGTAATTTGTTTTTGGTTGGAAAAAGGCATGGAAGCGAATCCAGAAAAGAAAAGCAGGCTGGAATCATAATCAACGCCTTCTACTTAATTTTGTAGAGGAAATCCTGTCCAACTTTTTCACTAAGAACAAAGAAGAAATTTGTATTATATGGGGTGAGGCGGTGTTTTGATACTTTGTTCAATTGTGTTTTATGTTTTTTATGTTGTGAGTATATTCAACACAAATGTTTTCTTCATTAATAAGATTTTAAAATTCATTTCTACATTAGTTATTAAGTGTTTCATTTTCCAAATGTGTGCTGAAGTTCTGTGTATTATCATTCAAACTATGTTTTGACCAGCAATACTTGTAACTTGTATTTACTTTTTTTACATGCTAGAAACCAACTTTGTAGTTTATTGTTCTGTATTTATAAACGTTCTTTAATAATAGGGAGTGGGGAAGGGAAGGGCTATGGGGGTGTTCTAAGAAACGTTATATAGGGATTATGGTAGTAGTTCAAATATAAAATACTTTTATGATATTATGTACACAATCCCCAAGCATCGGTTATTTGAACAAAATTGATCACTTCCCCAGAACCAGACTAATTTAACTTCATTTCTTTTTAAAATGTTCACACTGGTATTAAGATTTCTTTTCATGAACATTTTTATATCAAGCACTTAATGAAACTGAATTGTTAAGTAGCAATGGTAGGAGATCTCGTGACCATTTTTTTTACCATAGTGATCTACTGGAGTTAAAACAAACTTGTTAATAAATCTTGAAAAAAAAATGGAATAAGAGCAGCTGGTTTTGGGAAATAAAAATCAATAAAATATAGCAAATTTTCGTATATGGAACGCGGGAGCAGAGGCATAGCAAACCCTTCCTGGTGCCCAGGGACAAACTTTTGATTTGCCCCCCCCCCCATGTATTTTTTATATTTATAATGCAAAACTGCAGCTAAAATATGTACCACCCCCCCCCCCCCCCCCCCACGCTACGCCTCTGGCCGGGAGTAGAACGCTCAACTGCCAACCTGAAAGCTTGAGTTCGGATCTCTGACTCGGGTCCCCGGGACAACCCTGAGTCCACCCAGCTCTGCCTCACGTTAGGGGAAGTAAAGACAGCTGGGCCTAATGCTGACCACACTATAGGCCGATGTCAGAGAAACAGGTGAACTCTACTTCACCTGCCCCGCTGACCATCCGGGTTTCAAAAGGTGTAACTTTTTACCTTGATGTATTGATATTTAAATGAAGCTTTATCAATATGATGCAGCTTCATTGTGTTATAATCAATGCAATAACATCAGGATATTCCTACCCTGTTCAGGGGAAATAAAATCTCCCAGTCCAATCCACTGCCGCCTTAAGCTGCGTTAAAATCAGCTCCTCCGCCTGGGTCCACTTGTTTACATCCACACTGGAATAACTCCGCAAGTTCTCACAAGCTTGGAGCGTGCTTTTTAGGAATCTGGATAATTTTAGGAATTCGTGTGATCATTTTAGGAATATTAGTTTAAAATATGAGCGGCGGACTGACCAAAAATATTTCCTTGCCCGGCTAAATAAATATTTTACTGCGGTGATTTGTGTTTGACCACTGCATGCTAATGCAGGTAAAACAGTGTGGTTACTGTTACTAAAATATGTTAACAAATAAAAAACAAGAAGTAAGATGGTGAGTTAGTTTACCAAAAAATTCTTAATTCTTTTAAACTATTTGAGTGCAATTAACTAAATTAACTAAATGATATTAAAAATTACACCAGAAACAAAGTAAATTGGAAAATTATTTATTTATTTAATTAATATTTGTCTGTAAATAAAAAATACTGGAGGAAAAAATTCATAAATGCCCTAAAATTTGTTTGTATCTGTAGACCTATGTCTAGAGTTTTCGTTGCCAAATAATTATGGTCCAAACTTTATTTTTTTAAAAAAAAACCCATCACAGTGAGTTGTCTAAGGGCTGTTCTCAAAGCTCCACTAAGCAGACTGCCTGTGAGCAAATACATCAAACTTTAGCAAATTAGCTGCCCCGGCCCCACGGGGCACTTGTTCAATGTGGGTCATGGTCAGTCCGGCAGGTCAATTATTCCAGGCCAAGGTCTTTTTTTTTTCAGTGCCCACATTGTCTGGTGGACGTTTTTGTCCAGGCCAGACCCAGTTAAGGTTAACCTCTGGGTTAAACATGCGCTACTGTCTCTAGACCCAGCTAAGTTTAACCTCTGGGGTTAAATATGTGCTACTGTCTCTAGACCCAGTTAAGGTTAACCTCTGGGGTTAAATATGTGCTACTGTCTCTAGACCCAGTTAAGGTTAACCTCTGGGTTAAATATGTGCTACTGTCTCTAGACCCAGTTAAGGTTAACCTCTGGGGTTAAATATGTGCTACTGTCTCTAGACCCAGTTAAGGTTAACCTCTGGGGTTAAACATGCGCTACTGTCTCTAGACCCAGCTAAGTTTAACCTCTGGGGTTAAATATGTGCTACTGTCTCTAGACCCAGTTAAGGTTAACCTCTGGGGTTAAATATGTGCTACTGTCTCTAGACCCAGTTAAGGTTAACCTCTGGGTTAAACATGCGCTACTGTCTCTAGACCCAGCTAAGTTTAACCTCTGGGGTTAAATATGTGCTACTGTCTCTAGACCCAGTTAAGGTTAACCTCTGGGTTAAATATGTGCTACTGTCTCTAGACCCAGTTAAGGTTAACCTCTGGGGTTAAATATGTGCTACTGTCTCTAGACCCAGTTAAGGTTAACCTCTGGGTTAAACATGCGCTACTGTCTCTAGACCCAGCTAAGTTTAACCTCTGGGGTTAAATATGTGCTACTGTCTCTAGACCCAGTTAAGGTTAACCTCTGGGTTAAACATGCGCTACTGTCTCTAGACCCAGCTAAGTTTAACCTCTGGGGTTAAATATGTGCTACTGTCTCTAGACCCAGTTAAGGTTAACCTCTGGGGTTAAATATGTGCTACTGTCTCTAGACCCAGTTAAGGTTAACCTCTGGGGTTAAATATGTGCTACTGTCTCTATGTCCCCACTGGTAATGGCTGATGCTATTTAACACACTGCTTACAACTACAGTACAAGAGACTCTTTGGGTTAATGTCTGTATGTGTTGCAGGACCCATGTGCTACTCTCTGTGTGTTACTCACTGCATGTGCTACTCTCTGTGTGTGTTACTCACTGCATGTGCTACTCTGTGTGTGTTACTCACTGCATGTGCTACTCTCTGTGTGTGCTACTTTCTCCATGTGCTACTCTGTGTGTGCTACTCACTGCATGTGCTACCCCATGTGTGTGTGCTACTTTCTCCATGTGCTACTCTCTGTGTGTGCTACTCACTGCATGTGCTACTCTCTGTGTGTGCTACTCACTGCATGTGCTACTCTGGCCTTATAGTCCTACAGTCTTTTTGTTTGTCGTTAGATAAAAGGCCTGCTAGCTTTATATGACTGTGCATGGATGAACAACATTGTCTATTTTATAATGGGCGCATCTGCTAATTACTCCATTTTATACTTATTTTAAGCTAATATATATTTTATAATGCATCTAGATTCTACTTTATCAATTTACACTAGGTCTATAAACTAATTTATCTTTTTTATAATGCCATTTTTTGTCAGAGATTTTCTCTCTATGACTAATAAAGTGTTGAAGTCAACTCAATGGCATCTGTTGTTATATTCGTAGCGCTATTGAGTTACACAACAGCACTATGCCCAGTCATTTTAACTTTCCCTTTTGTGAGTCAGGTACCCATTATAGCTGGATGGACTCAGGGTTGTGTACTGTCACAAACCCGGATTTGAACTCAAGACTTTTGGGTTAGGAGTCAACTGATCTACCATCCAACAATGCTGTTTCATAAATTTCAAAATAAAAATCACTAAAATTATAAATTAATTAAAAGAAAACATCGCATTAAAAAGCTTAGTGAAGTTAACCAAAATTCATGTCCAACCTATTATCTATGATAAAATCGTGTTTGAACTCAAATATGAGGTGATTTTGGTATCTAAAAAATGAACTCTTTTTTTTTTTTAAATATACAATAACAACCTTGTTCTTTCACCTGTTTGTTTTATGGACATTTCGTTTTGACAAATTTAGAGTTTTTTAAAAATAATTCACTGAAGTTAAAAACAGTGAGTTATTCCCCATTTATAAAGTTTTTAAAAACTAAGGGAGACAACCTGTACTTTTTTTTTTACATAAGTATTTAATACAGACAAATTCAGAAGTAAAAACTAACAAAAATCGGGAACATGTTATTATTCTACTTAATATGTATACTCAAATCATCTTTTGTTTACTTTTTAGAATTTATTGATTTTAGATTTATCATTTGACTCTAGTTCAAATAGAAAACTATTAACTGTATCAGTTACTTAATGAGTAGAAATAATAATATTCCATATTTATATTATTCACAACGATTCTACGAATTGGCTATTTTAAATTGCTTAAATGAAATGGGTACTGTGTCTTGTTGCTTGTTTAATATTTAATTAAAAGATAATCATGACTAATCTGATATCTACTGTCATCTGGTGCTAGGGCCTTGTCGTGGCTTGGCAGCTTGTGTACCCTGACGACCCCCAGAGCTATATCAGGAGTGTAAACTCCTGGCAGGTTCAACCAAGCTGGGAAGGTCTGCGCAGGTAGTGGTCAGACAAAAGCTAGCACCCTGGTCCTCCAGGTTGGGGGTTGAGCATAAGGTTGGGGGTGGAGCATAAGGTTGGGGGTTGAGCATAAGGTGAGCAACCTTATATCATAAAAACCAACTTGCTACAGAAACACAGACAAAGAGAAATACAGACAGCTTGGACCAGGGGAAGAATGGATCTCTCGATGTAGAATTTATAAGGCCGGGTGGTGGAAGCCAATATGTATTGGAAACTACCAGGTCGACCACCATTACGTGACCTGGAAGAAGACACCAAGAAGATTGGATACACGTGGGGACAGCTGGAGAGACTAGCCCAGGACAGAGATGCTGGATAGCTCTTGTCAGCGGCCTATGTCCCAGGAGGGGCGACAGGCAAACCTAACCTAACCTAAACCTAAACCTAGACCTAGACCTAGACCTAAACCTAAACCTAAACCTAAACCTAACCTAACCTAACCTAACCTAACCTAACCTAACCTAACCTAACCTAAACCTAACCTAAACCTAAACCTAAACCGAACCTAACCTAACCTTATCTGTTATCTAAAAGTGAAAATTTAAATAAAATATTCCTGTGTCCTAAACAAAAAAAATGAATTCTTACTTTTGTATAGACTTGCAGGCGGATTGATCCAATGTGCAGTAATTATCCAGGTGTGAAAATATCCAGGTGGATAAAGTAATGATGGAGTTGACAAAAACACTGGCATAAGGCAGGCTAAAAAAGGATTGTAATGTAAGCATAAACAGTAACTAAATATGAGACACTTTTGCAAGAGACACAGTCAAAAGACACAGCAACAATAATAGTAATAAAATAGAAGAAACAGTTACAAGTTGGATATAAGACAAGAAAAGAAACAGTAACAAGATAATTTATAACACACAGTGAGCGGTCATTCATTTATGACGTCCACATTGAGTGGGGGGGGGGGGGGGGGGTCGGGAGATAAAGTAAAATCAACGTTTGTGGACATGTAAGGATGGGGGGATGTGAGGGGGTTTTGGGGTCCATGTAAAAGTGCTTACATTTTAAACAAACATAAAACTTGTATCTTACATGTACAAAGAAAAAAAAAAGAAAATAGTAAAAAATAAGAAGACTGCAAAAGTTTTAAAAATTAAAAAAACCATCCCAACATGTATATATAGTACGGTATCTATACCTTCACTAAGGTCATCCATATCATAAGCAATGTCATAATTTTAAAACTATTTTTTTTTTACCTGTTCCATCAAAATTGGAGGTGTTTGGTTGGGTGGAAGAGGTCTTAATTCCAAAATTTTTGAGATGACATAAACGGATGACCCCTATACAAGGGAAGTAAGCACAACAACAAAAAAACAACTCACACAGACAGCAGCCTCTTAAGGTTGTCTCTCTGCCTTGACCTCAGCTCTTTCTTCAGGAGCTGACCTTGCCTGAGCTGGAGAGCAGACGTGATCTGGCGGATGCAGACTTCCGTCTCGCTCAAGATTCTGGTCATTAGGTTGACCACCTCGCACTCGCTCACTGCCTGAACATTTGTGTTCTTCTGTCCGGTAAAATAAATGTGTTGTTATTGCTGTTTTTAAATGATGAATTATCTAAGGGTGATGCAATGTAGAAAAAGAAGATAGGCCACCTACCTGCCACCTGTGTAATG